AATGCAATTGGATAATGTTTTGGTAGGATATAATGCAATTGGATAATGTTTTGGTAGGATGTAAAGTATTTGGTCTCTATTATCTTGTTATTGTGTTAATCGTAAGGTACCTAATCTATAAGAAAATTTTTTCAAAATAACGATAAACCAAACAGCGATTTCTCAAAGGCTGTTTCTCAAATGGGTGCAAAACCAGAGTTTTTTTAAATGTTATTTTTATCTAGGTTAAAAAACGCTTTAATGTGAAATAATGTTTGATTTTAAGATTCCAAATTGCGAATTCTTTAATTAAAAATTTTGTATTAAAAATTAAATTATTAGATTCTAGTTCTTGAATTCCGATGTTTGCAATATAGTTATGAATGAAGGCAAAAAATGCAATATCAATTCTAAAACATATTCTTTTTTTTATTGTTAACTATATGCGCAAGATAAAATAAAATTTTTCTATTTTATTTCTCCATCCAGGAGTTGGGATAAAATGTATTTATAATCCGGTTTTTAAGATTAATTTTTTTAGTTATGTTTTAATACTGCATTATCTGCAATCCTAGTCAGAATCTTTTACGCCAATACCGATGTCAGCGGCAAAACGACTAATAATATAACATACTGTAATATTTTTTTTAATCTTTAAATGTCGCCCTAAATACTATATATTTATAGACCGCTTTCATTTATCCAAATTGCTCGGTTTTCAAGTAAAAATAATAAAATGACAAACTCAACATACCTCTTATATAGTATATGTACATAGATCAAGATATTTTCATGAAAATTATAGAAAACAATTTTTATATACATACGATTGTGCATTATTTTTCACTTTTAATGGACACTATTACACAGTTTATTTATTGTATATGTACCTTGCCATGTTTTTGTAACACTGCTTCGTATGGCGACCGCTATCGTGTTGTTTCTTATTAAAAAAATATCTCCAGTCTTTTGTAATTCACAAAGTCTCTAAAGAGATCACTTATAAGAGCACTTGCAATATCTATGTTCTTGCACTGTTATGCAAATAAGTGAGTACCGGGGTTACGCGTTAGCCAAACCGTCGCATCCACTCGTGCGCCTCACGGATGGAACTGAATTAAAGTGCTTGCGATTAAGGTACCTCAAGCTACCGAACAACAGAATCACTCTTGCTAGCATATCTCTGAAACGGCTGATTATTTACAGTCTCTTTATTATTATTGCTAGTATTTTCGAAATTTATTCCTTTAGCGGTATTTATTTAACGTTGTTTTATTTTATTTCTAATTTTTGCTTTTGCTCTTTTAATTAGCACATTCACTGTTGTGATTAGATAAAGTATTGAAGTTAGTGTGAGCTAATAGAAATTCTGCCCGAAATTGCTGAAAAGCTCACCACTTGTTAATTGAGAACTGATATGCAAACGCGTTGCGCGAGTGAGACACAAAAAAATTGGGAAAAAGTAACTCTATTTTCGATTGATAAAACACACTGACGCGTGCACTGAAATATGATAAGTAATTTTTTTATTTTTGTCACGATCTTTTTTCTATATATTATCTGTTTGCAAGCGTTTACAACATATAATATAAACAAGCGTTAAATATTATTATTGTTGTTGGTAGTTTTGTGCAAGTTCACATCTAAGTTTAGCGACACTTTGTCAATGGTGGCTGGTTCACACGCCTGGCGAGCGGAAAATGTGGCATAATTGGAGTGTTCTGCCATCCGACGCTAGAAGCAGTGGCAACAGTCATCCGCTGTTCGCACAATTGTTGTTATCAGTGTGCTAAATGTATTGTTTACATTGATGATGTACATATGTATGTAATGAATTCAAGTTCAATTCTAGAGATATATAATACAAAATACATACATACATATGTATGTATATTCATACTGTTTTATATGGTACAAATAGGTTGATCAGTTAAATGGGTTCCACATTACTTTATTTGAAATATAATATCAGCAAAGAATTTTGTTTAAAATAATGTTTACTGATATTATATGAACGAGAGTTGACCGATAAATACTTAGCAAATGAAATAATAACGAAAATTTTATAAAATGGTGATAAACATATGTATTTACTCAATACAGCCTCCTTATAGGCGGTGATTCTTCAATTTTTTTTACCTGTTTGAAAGACCTGGAAGGATTTACTAGAATCAAATTTTCTTCTTTGCCAAATGGAGCTATTTTCGGACCTCGAATCATCTCTGGAAGGATCTAGTAGAAAGAAAATTTCTTCCTCGCCAAATGGGGCTATTTTTGCTGTGATTCGGACCTCGAATCCTCTCACAAGATCACACTTTGATATTTCCTAAACAGTTCATCATCTTTAGCCTGTACTAGTGAATCTAAATATCACTCAGTATATGACCGACAAGATATTTTGATACAGATCGTGGACTTTTCTCGCCTTATGGTTGGAGGTAATTATTTTCAGGATACCTAAAAACCAAATTGAGCGAATCAGAGCCACCGTATACAAACGATCTCTGATTTCACTGCCCGATTTCTCTTCCAAAAATACAAATCAAATCATCGGCCGATATTTTTCTTTCCCAAGTTTTCTAAAATCCGCGAACATGCCTACTCCACTCGATTCGGCTAAAGTTTTGACAGTAGCTGTCTACGAGAATATACCAAACGGTAGAAGATTGCCTATATCTTGCAACAGAGATGTCATTGGACGATTAGGCTAGCACTTGTTGGTCCTCCCTCATAAATACAACATCTAAATATGAAAATAATTTGTATATACGGCCGATAGCCCATGATGCTAGTGCTGCGTATTTTCTTAAGTTTGTATAATAATTGTATTATTATGTAAGCTTTTATAAAATAAAAAAAAAAATTTTTTTTTGAGAAAATGTGCTGGATATAAATAATCTGTTGTTCTTTGTTTCGATACCTAAACTTAGTAGAGTCAATACCTTTAAATACACTCCTAAGTATTGAAATCAAAAGAAAGACTGGATTTAGTCAATGGGAGAGTATCCGATAAATGGAAGCATAATGAGTAAGATAACTTCAAAAGTAGAAAACATACATATATTCTCTAACTAAAGATATTTCGATCGATTCGGCGCCATTCGGAGCAGCTCGGGCTGACGTATGGAACGATTTGGTGCATTTTACGCCGAGATCGTAAGTTGAAGGCGTACGAAATACAGCTTTTACGAGAAATGAAGCCGCTCGAATTTCCCAAGCGGCATTGCTTCGATCTATCTGCTCTTAAAAGTTCACAGAGAATTGGCGTTTTCGAGCCAAATTTTGTTCAACAATGACGCCCATTTCTCGCTCAATGGGTTTGCAAACAAGCAAAATATGTGCATTTGGGACGAAGAGCAACGTGAAGAGATTCAAGAGCTGCCATTTTATCCAGCAAAACAAAAAAAAAAAAAAAGCGGTTTGAAGTGGTTTGTGAGGCATTTTGAATCATTGGTGTATACTCCTCTTTCTTCAAAAATGTTGCCAGTGAGAACGAAACCGTCATGTTATGCCTGAAATTCGAGCTCTTGATCTCGACGACTTTTGGTTTCAACAAGACGACGCCACTTCTCACACGTAAATTCAATCAAGGGATATATTGGGAGAACACTTCGGTAAGAAGATAATTTCACGTTTTGAGACGGTTGATTGTCCACCAAGATCGCATGATATCACACCGTTAGGCTTTTTCCTGTGTTTATATTAAAAGTCTAAAGTTCATGCGGTCATTTCCGCTACGATTTAGGTCTTGGGACGAAACAGCACTAGTTTCATTCTTCAGTTACCGGACGAAATGCTGGAACGAGTCAACGGAAATTGGACTCACCCGCTGGATCATTTGAGATGAAGCCGCGACCAACATTTGAACTAATCTCCAGAAAATAAATGAAAAATAATGTTATTTCGAATGATAATAAACATTCGCCCTCAGACTTGAAGTTTTTGTTTTTTTCTTTAAAAAAGTAGGGAACCTCTTAATATTTCCGAAAATATTTTCAAAGTGTCCTCTTGCAGAAAAAATTTCAATATTTAAACTTTGCAAATATGAAAAAAGACATATTTTTAATAAGCTAAAATACCTTGTTAATGCTTTTAAATAAAAAATCCATTGTGTTACGTATATAAGAAAGTAAGTTTAAACCAATTAGCAGTGAATTTTCTTCTCCGCACGAAGTCATCCGCTCACTTTATCACTTCTCCTTCAGCTACACAAAAGAAAATATATTGAACAGTCTTCTTTTAATACTTACAACGAGCTGTAGAAACGCTCATTGTATCACTACTGATTTCTGAATATTAGAAGAACACAGGCCACTGTACTTGCTAGCGCCGTCAGCTGCTGACTGGATGGATGCGTGCTCTAATCGCTTGTTGGTGTTTTTGTTTGTGTGTGTTTTGGCTGTATTCGTTGCCGGCGTCATCGACGTCGTAATGGTTGTCGCCGCTACGCTGCCGCTGTCAATGGGGCGCGCTGTAGCGATGTCGATGTCGGTGTCGGTATCGTCGTAGTCGTCGTCATTGTCGTTGTCGTCGAGGAGCAGAAATCAAAAAGATTTCGAACGCAAACAGATGCAACGTGCCGCTCACAGCAACTGGTCGCACGTTTTCCCTTAGCGCGAATTATACACACTCGACATTCGTCACTCGACAAATACAGTCGAAGAGTCAGACCGAGTGCGACGTATTGTTGCTGCCGCCTCGTCGCATAGACCAAACGGTATTGTGCTCTGCTATCGCTTAGCCGCATAGTCTCGTAGTCTTATAGTTGCGGCAGTCGCAGTCGTATCGGAAGTGTGTTTAAAGTGTTTCGTGGATTTCCGCTCTAACGCGACCACATTGCTTGGCCGCAGCTGTCAATCGAAGTTTTGCGAACTTAAAAGTCAACTAATTTACGGTTTTGTGTATTATTTAAAATTGTGCGTGTGGCAAAAGCCTAGAACGTGGTAAAGTGTGAAATAGTGTTGCGTCGTCTATTGTGTGGTGTTTGTGTGTGTTGTGCGGGTATTAAATTTGGGGCGCGCCGTCATCAGTGTGTCGGGGAATCTGTGTCACCTACCCAGAAGAGTGACGTTTGACGCACAGTCGCCAAAATTGTTGACAACAGAAAGAAGAAAGTACGAAAACATTGAGGTATGAGAAATCACATTAAGCTGTTCGTCAAGTTGTTTTAGGCCCCTGTGAGCCCAGCACTTGCCACCGGTGAACCGTTAAAATGTCAATTCATTAGTGCAACTACTTAAAACGCGCTGTATGTGTGGTGTTTGTGTGTGGCTTCGTCGCAAAGCCTCGCTTATTAAACTTAACGCTAGAAGGACACATGTACTTACATATATACAATTCGTTGTGGGTCGGCAGTTGCTCGGTTTGTAGGTGTTCGCTGCAAAGTGTCCTTGTTCATGTGTGTGTGTGTGTGTGGGTTGAGCGCTTGTCGTTTATCACCAGTCGCTAAAGTGTACAGTAATATAACTGTTAGTGTACCGTTAGTGCATCATCAGTGTTGTTGTTGGCCAGTGTTGTTAATTGTCGTTGTTTCTGCTGTTTTACTATTAGCGTTTGTTGCTTGTTGGGGCACAAATGCAATGTGTCGTTCCGCCAATTGCCACAATTGTCATTTACTTGTGGCAAGTGTTGCATGTGCGACAACGTAATTGAGGTTAATTAGTTGTAAGTTGCTGCAGCCACAGGTGGATGCGTTGCTTGTTTGTATATATGTAGTACATGGGAGGGTGTATATGGCTTAATTGCTCATAAACAGCTTCATATATACAAATATATAGATAAATATATATATACAAAGAGATAAAAAAATATCCGAATATATTAACAAATAATCAAAAACAGGTTTCACATATATATAAATATATCTTATTGACCTCTTAAGAGTGTTGTTTGAATATGTGAGTTCACGGCGTGATTCCTTTAGCACCAGCCTTCTTCATTGGTTCAATGTCTGTTATAGTTTTTATACCTTCAACGGCCACGCTAAGTTGGTGCCGAGGTTTGTAGCATTCAGCAGAAAACATTAGAGAACCTAAATTTAATATTATACATACATATATATGTACATACATATATATATAAATGATCAGCGATATGAGTTGACTCGATTTACCAACAAACTGTCTGCATATCATCCAATTAGACTTTTTTTCGAGATAGCGTCCCAAAATTTTGCACTCGTCCTTTTCTCACCAAGGAGCTTCTCATTTGTCAGAATCGCTGATATCGGATCACTATAGCATATAGCTGACTTATAAAATGTACGAGCAAAATCAGGACCCACTATGGAAAAATTTTTAAGTTGTGAAGATATCTTTATCAATTTTGACATAGAATATTCTCGAAACCGAATATATAATCTCCGAAGAAATTGCTGAGATCGGATCACTATAGCTTAAAGCTGTCATACGAATTGATCAAACCGAATCAAGTGCTTGTATCTAAAACTTTTTAATTTGAGGAGATATCGTGACCCAATTTGGCACGGATTATTTTCTAAGGCAACATTACAATATTCGAAGAAATTGTTTGGATCGAGTTACTATAGCATATAGCTGTCATATAAACTCCCCGATCGAATTCTAGACCCTGTATGGAAAATCTTTTTTATTTGACAAGATATCTTCATGAAATTGGGAACAGATTATTCTCCAAAAGGCAGGTACAATCACCGAAAAAATGATTGAGATCGAAGCACTATAGCATATAGCTGCCATACAAAATGAACACCGAATCAAGTGCTTGTTGTATCTAAAACTTCTTCATTTGAGGAGATATCGTGACTAAATTTGGCACAGATTATTTTCCAAGGCGACTCTATATTCCCCGAATAAATTGTTCAGATCAGACCACTATAGCATATAGCTGCCATACAAACTCACCCATTAAGGGTCTTGTAAGGAACTTATTGTATTTGTGAAGTGTATTATAGCTTCGCTGTCGCCGAAGTTAACGTTTTTTTTTTCTTATTTGGCCTTTTTAGCACATGTAAATCTACATAAGAGTCTATGGTACATACATATTTATATGTACGCAGCAAACGCCAAACGAGTGTGTGTCTCGTTGCAAGTAATTGGGCGCGTAAAATAGTCGCAGTCGCTTGTCTACCGGTGAGTTCGGGTCTATTTTTATGCTTTTTAGTGCTTTTTGTTTTTGGGTTGTTGCTAAAATTTCGCATTTTTGTTGCATGGATTTTACGCAGTTCACAGCACTTGGGCTATCTCACATTGAAAACGCGCATTTCATTAATGCATTTCCAAACGCACTTGACTAAATAGTATTTCAGGTCTAAGATGATGGATTTCAATTTAATTGCACTTGACTGTAAGTGTGGTGCAAAATTATTCACTTTTCCGCAAGCGTTTAAATCATCTTTAGATAGAAAAATATATATAAATATAAATATGTATAAACTGTTACATTCGAACGGTATAAGGGATTAATATAGCTTAATAAAGGATCAAGTATAAAGAAAGAAATTTGAATGTTTTTTTTTTTTTATTTAGCATAGTTAGAATGATTCGATTTAGCTCATGAATGTGCCGTGTTTTCGATAGCTTTTTGCCATCTTGTAGATAATCTCATAATGCTATTTTCAAGAAACCTTCGTCCCTATGGGTAACCAAATTGTGAGAGTCGATTTTCATGAGCTTATTTGGAAGCAAATTTTTCACCAGCCAAAGCAGTCACTATAGACAGGAATAGGTAGCAGACATTTGGTGGTAGGTCTGGGTTAGAAGATAACTACACAAGAACCTCACTGCCCAAAAATCTCCCAATAAAGCTCCCGGAACTTTTAGCTAGTCAATTCCTTAGCTGTTAACCAAAGCTTGCCACGTCTGGGCGATTACTTCTTTCGGATGGTCTAATTGTTGTTAGTCTTTATCCGAATTAAGATTTAGTTAGTTGGTGCTTAGTCTGTCTGAACGGTTACTTCTTATGGAACGTCTAATTGTTGTCAGTTTTAATCCGTTTTAAGTGTTAGGCAGTTGGAGCTCGCCACCTTTAGATAATTGCTTCTTTTGAATGTTCAATATTAATTCGAATTAAAAGTTAGGACTTTGGAGAGCAACATTCAATAAATGGTTCCCTGCCAATCCTACTAAACACATAGAAAACCTTGAAGACCGTCGGTTTATTAAAGTGTGACCCACTTTTCATCGCCAGTAGCCATCCGTTTCAGAAATGTTTAAATTTTATATCGATGCAGCAGCGATTTGAAGCTGGAAAATTGGGTCAAAAGGTTATTCTGCTTTAACTCGCGAGAATTCCATAGAGTGAGCTTCATTTTGTATTTAGCCTTACATGCTTTCAAAGGGATTTAGCTTCGTGACCATCGAAAAGTTCTTATACTGTTGTACTCAACGATTTTCACAGCTTTCTCATAGTTGAGACATTTTTCTGGTGATGGTGTATCATTTTGATTCACGATCGACGTATTATTTTCGAGAGAACTCTCAAAATGAAACCTTAAAAGTGATGAAGTTTTGACCTTTCGTCGAGTCAGTTCATTGGTAATTTTTCTAGACTTCTGCTTAGTTCTACTGGTCAATCAGTTTTTCATTTTGTTTTGCTGCGATTTATCTTTGATTCGTTGTGAGTTTTAACGATCCACTTTAAAATCAGACATTGTGATAGTTAACAACAGACGTTTCTCGTAAACTATATTGAGCATTTCGGGTAAGAAGTTCACTGGCTTACACTAGAATACCCACAATACAAGGAAAACAGCATTCTTCTTCTTGACTTCTTTGTAGCCGCTTTGGTTGTTTATCTTAAGCTTTCGAAAATCCTTCGTATTAAACAAAAAATTCCTGTATGTTAAACACTCTCCATCGTTATTTTTCCATGGCTCGCTTTTATAATAATTAAAGTGCGTACTGAGTGGTGGAGTCGGTCGAAAAAATGTTAAATTCTCTCATTTAAAATATGCGTTTTCCAACCATAAATATTTACCCTTGTATAATTGAAAGTCAGTTGCAATCGTGAAAGCATTACATATCCGTGTAATTGAGACAGCATAAAACCCACACCGCTGCTTACTCCACTATGCTAAATGCCGGGAAAACAGAGCTTTATGCAATAATTCGCATTTAAAACTTTTTCAATAAAAATCTCTCAACTTATCTAATGGAATACAAAAAAATAAAAAAAAGATAGACAAAGTAGGTAGTAAAAAACGTGCTGCTTCAATCGCATCAAAACTACATGGAGCGCATTTCACTGCAACTGTTCTCATAGAAACATACATCTGTATGTATACACCCAGCAGGTTAAGTAGGATTGGATTCGGTTTTTTAAAAATTGGTTAGAATATTGAGTAGTCCAAAAGATAAAGTATAAAATACTTTACTGAAGTACACACAATTTCTCGATTAAATTTGGCTGTTGTCGTCCTTTAGCTGTTTCTCAAATACTCAAACGGCTCACTTCGAATTTGACACTTAGGTTAGGTTAGATTAGGTCGTATGGTTAATACAAAACCGCTTGAAAGACGCTGCAGTGATCTGGTCGCCTGAAACTAGATTTGATGGAGAGCTCTTGACAAAAGATTTCACTCTAAACATCCACTTAACTTCGATTCATCCGCGTAAAAGCTGCCTGTACCTCTTCTCTAACTCTAACGGCTGCGCCCTATCACCAAATCCGTCAAGGCAAGTACCACCAGGTGCAGGTTTAGCGGTGTAGTGGTTTGTGCTGTAATGAATGAAATCGTAATAGTGGATAATTTTAATGTGGCTCTGCCCAGAGCGTCGTATATACACAGATTGGCTAAGTCTAGCAGCAGCTTTCGCTTCAAGCTTGGTTTCAACTCCAGTTTACAAAAGTTGAGCAGCTACTTTCGACGTCCTCTTGAGCAGCTAAGAACCAATAATATACAGTTTAAGCTGTCTATTTGTCGGAACGGCCTATATCGAACTGCTATAGCATTTAGTCGTCATACCAACTGTGCGATCGGAATTAAGGGCAAGTACGGAGAGCTTTTTCATTTGGCTTACGTTTTTGTTTAAGGAAATGCTGCAATCTCCGAAGAAATTGTTCAGATCGGACCAATATATGTAGCCTATAGCTATCACATAAGCTGAACATTCTGAATAAAGCGAAGCTCAACTACGCCGCACCAATGTGGTCGCCATGATGCAATGAAAAACAGGTGAGGAAGTTTCAGACTTATCAGAATACTGCACTCCGAACTACGAAAGAATGCCTCTTGATGTCTCCTACCGAACACCTACATAGTGAGTCCCGTATATTCCCAGTTCAGGAGCCTAAGGAACTGTTTTCCAAGCAGTTCCTATTGGTATACTTTCGCAGAAATTATCCTTACCAATCCCCAGCTTTGAGCGGAACCGCCTCCTAGGAGCATCAAGAGATCATTCTTAAATTACATCGAAGACATCCTGCGTGCAATAAGTTTCCGCATGACACTGGCCACGTCTTTGCATGCCCCACTAACCCCATTCATCTTATTACCCTCTCCCTTTGGTTCGACCCTGTCAAAATAGCACGTTTCTTGGGCCTACCGTTGGATGACGTCAACGACAACTTAGCTAATTTTTATCATCCTAACGGTGATTAGGTACCCGCTAAAACAATAAGCGAAGTTAGCATTGTTTTTCTTGTTTTGAATTCTTTCTGAACCGAGTACCGTTTCAGCTTCCTGCTTTTCAAATATGCACTGCTTATATAGAAAATCTCCGCGTTGTAGAACAGAGCTCATTTCGTATGCACCGAAATGAAACCAGTTGACGACTGTTGCATGCTTAGTAAGACTACTAGGTCTGGCTTATCTTGCCGCTAATGCGCAAGCACACACATACACGAGCGTATATCTGTGTTTAAGCAACCATTTGGCAAATAACTTTTTGCGGCGATTTGAAAAGAAAAACCCCAATTTTAACGCATCAGCAACGGCAATGCACCATTAAAAAATTTCGGTAATTTCCATTATCAATTACAACTGCACACATACGCACACACAAACGTGCAACAGCGCAAAAATTCTCATACAAACGTATGAGTAGAAGTATTCATATGTGTATGTGTTGGTGTGATTGTGTATTTGGCTTGCGGAAACGCTAAAAGCCAAAAGCGGATACAACTTTTTCACGAATTGGACTTTTTGAAAAAGTTTCTCCCAGCGCTGACGCTGAAAACCGAGCAGTAAGTTTGGGGCAGCCGTAGCTAGGTGCCGGAGCAGCGTGAGACGCCGAGGCTAAAAAGTGACTGAGTGTTGCAAGTGCTGCTAGCGCATGCATGTTCGACGTTTCAATTGTTGGTTTGCGCGGTGGAAGCCAGCCATGAACCCCATTTGCCGGTTACATGTGTGACATACACATATGTATATGTATATGCATGTATGTATGTAAGTAGGTGTGCAGCTGGAAGCATGTGTGCGGTTACCAAATTACATCTATTGCAAGCATGCATTGAGCGGTGAACTGGCCGCATATGGCCCAAGGCGCAAAGGATTGCCAATTTTAGGGCGGGCAGGTGGCTTCGGCGTTGGGTTCGCAGGCAGCCATGAACATGCTCGCCTTGGGCGCATAAACGATGACACAGGAATCAGAGCAGATGTTGCAAGTATGCAAGTATGCCGCAATTGTTGGCTCTGTGTCAGCCATAGTGAGCCATAGTGATGAGTTCAGCTCCTAGGGGTTAAAGGGTTGATGGATTGTGCCGAACAAATAACTGTAATGTACTTCAAATGGTTTTGTTTGTTGATGCTTATACGCTACTTAGGCCGTTATGCATTTTTTCGTATGGCAAATTTGCAGAATTTTTCTAGTTTGGTCTGGAATTTGATACCTCTGTTTATGCTGAAATTGATAAAAACTAAAAGGTTTATCCATTAAGGTATTCTTATGCTCCCGCAACACCGATGGTAGGTGAGTAGGTAGTATCCTTCCCAAACGGTAGTTTACGGTTGGGTGCAAGATGGGTTGCGGTGCAGAAAGCCAGTCGACACTTAACGACGCTAAAAATCAATTCAAACAAACAAACAAAACAAAATTAGAAAGGCTTTAAGCTCACTGACAGGTGAACTCCACTTTTCCAAAATTTGGGTTCCTGGTCACGGCAATGAAAAAGCGAACGCTTTGCCTAAGTAATGAATTTTTCTGTGCAAATTTGATGCAAAACTAATTCTGTGTAAGCTACGAGGTCAATACACAATTTGAACCATTAGCTCAGAATAGATGGAAAAGCTGGATAGTGAAAGAGGTAAGACCAAATTTTGACAATGCAGACACTGCGGACTTATTATTTAGTTCCAATATATATATATATATATATACTGTCTCTTATACACATCTAGATGTGTATATATATATATATATACGACGAGGGGAGCAGAAGAAAATGAAGACCTTCGCTCCGTTCGAAAGGTGTAGAAGCAATGGTATTGTTATTATTGGATCTTTGAAGATCATATAATAACAATACCATTGCTTCTACACCTTTCGAACGGAGCGAAGGTCTTCATTTTCTTCTGCTCCCCTCGTCGGGTACTGCGTTGGAGCATTTTCGTTCATTCAGACGACATGACCTAGCTAGCGTAGCCGCTGTCTAATAATTTGCGGAGCTATGTCAATGTCATCCCATAAATCAAACAGCTCATCGTTTCATCGTCTGCGGTATTCGCTGTTGCTAATACGCAAAGAATCATAAGAATCTTTCTCTCGAAAACTCGTAACATCGTCTCATCAGACGTTGTCATCGTCCATGCCTTTGCACCATATAGCAGGACAGAGATGTTGAGTGACATCGGTCCTTGTTTGTCGAGAGAGCAGTTTACTTCTCAATTACCTACTCAGTTCGAAGTAGCACCTGTTGGCAAGAGTTATTCTGCTTTGGATTTCAAGGCTGACGCTATTTTTGTTGTTAATTTCTGGTTTTAATGTCGTATTTTTTTATCGTCTTCTCCTCGTTCATAACTCGGCCCATATGTTTTGCTTCTTAATTGACGTTTACACACCGACCTAAGGTATATTACGGCCTTCTGTATAATATGGAAATTTTATGTGTATAATTTGAGCTATCTTAAGGCATCTCTGCTCATATCATCCCTCTCTTTCATAGGGCATGGGCGCAAATCACTGTTATGTTGAAAGATTTGGCTCTGCTGCGAACTGGACGACTGAGTTTTTCTCTCACCGCAAATCCCATACCGAATTTACGCTCTTTTATATGGCTGTTGTAGTAAATGTCACAAGGGCCTACTTATTTTCGTCCTTGTCCAGTCCATGATGTCAGCTTTTACTTTGAGGACATCAACCAGTTGTGCATGAGCACCTTCCTAATTTAGGGGCCGGAGATTGCGATAGCATGACCTTAAATCATAGCCTTTGTTACGTCTGCTGTGGTCGTCTACATAGGTGGGGTCTTTCATCCGAGATTGTTTTTTATAAACCGACACCTGCTCGCAGCCGCACCGCTGGTAAACATACGCTGCAATTAGACTTTAGCGGACTCTTAAACCGAATATTTCGGAGTGGCTCTATTGAAGCTTCCACTCTTTTAGCATTGAGTCTTTGCATGCATATTGTCAATAGGTGATCCAGAATTTCTTTTTGTGTGCGTTTTTCTTATGGGAGCTTTGTTACCAAATGCCGCATGTCGCCCCATCTATTTCCTTTTGATCCAACATTGATTCTTTTATTTTTTAGTAAATTAATATACAAAGTAAAATATTGTTTAAATAATTTTAAGAAAATTTTCAATCAAAATGTAATGCCCCCAAAAATTACTGACAAACGAACAGTGACACAACTTCACAATACCAGGCCGAGAGCTTCTCTGGCAACCAATACAAATAAAGCTCGTTTTATTTCGCAAACTTTATTTATTATTCGAAAATAAAACAATTCTAATAGTTCGAGCAAGCGATTACCATCGAGCAATCAAGAAGCGCTCGAATTGAACCCAAAAATAGATTGCCCTCCAAAGTTAAGTTAATTAATTCAAATCGAATTTCAAACTAAATTTGCGCGATTTGTGGAAGCCGCAATTGATGTACCACCCCACACCCGGCCGGCTGCTTCAAATTATTGTAGAGCGCGCACTAAACCCACCCGCCCCTTTGCGAGGTTTTTCGATTGGTGCCAATTAAAACGCAAAAGGGCCAATTAAATATTTCGAGCGCAATTCGCATTTCGCATACGGAAGGCCAATTTGCATGCGAAGCCAATTAGTTAATCTAACAATTCGGGGAATTAGCAACAGTCGTACACTTTTGTTTTTTGGAAAAAAGAGCTCGGAAAGTTGCAAAGCTTAATTTTAAAAGGCGCCAAGGCAAAACAAAGGGCATTGTAAAAATGCACTCTGATTTCGCTGACAAGCTGCAATTCATCTCTGACAAAGGGAGATGTTAACAAACTGGACAATGTCACCATTTGACAGCTGTCCAATCAATTGTCGGCAATTAAAAGCGATTGGCCTTTGCCTTTGCCACACACACACAAAGACACATATGTATGTACGCACGCCTACAACCCCACATGCCAAACACGATTGTCTAATTGTTGGCAAATGCTGGGCTTTGCAATTGGCTTGACTAATCCTGCAGAAAGCTTCTCTCTTCTCTGTTTGTTGCTGTTTGAAACAATTCGGGTTTTGCATCGTACGAGCAGCGCCTAAATGCAATTTTACTAATTCACAAAGCGCATAAATTACACTTGCCAACGAAGCGTTGCAACTAATTTGAACTCTCGCACCGAAATTACGAAGGTCGTACACGTCGAAAATGCTATTGCCAGGCCGAGGAACTCTTCACACGCCGCCGCTTGCATTGGCGCGCTTGCCGTTGCTGCTGCTCTTTGTTGGAGCCGCATTGTCAGCCCGTTTTGTTGGCGCGGCAATCGCCTCAGCCATGAACGATGCGACGCAAATTTTCGCTAATAGTTTGACGAGGCGCGTATTTAACGCCGACAGCGGTGGGAATGGCTGCTCTGCACGCAAATTTCAATCGATGGCCAAAGCTATCGATGACATCGAGGATCTGGAATTGGATGTGCCGGTTAACATCGCTTTCGATAACCATCAGAAGAAGAGGTAGGTGGGATTTTTAAATTACTTTCATACACAAAGTAAATATAACAGTAGACATGATATTAGAATATTTATATATTTCATATATGTACATATCGTCACCTGAAATGCAAAATAACGTATCATCAAAAAATTCGATATTGATTGTCTTATTGATTACGCTTCACTACTTCGAATTACGTGCATAATATTACATATGTTCAACATTTTCAGGGTCTGAGTTCAGCTATAAACCAGTTTTAACCAATATTAACATTTTTTTTCACTCATGTTCCATTTTATGTCGTGTTTCATTCATGCCTCTGTAAATTTCCGAGAATGTTGTTACGTTATTTTGCATTTCAGGCGACGATATATATTTATTTTATTGTTATTGGGTTTATTGAATATATAGTGATATTCCTGTTCTTGAAACATATTGCTTTTTATTTTGATGGCAGCGGTAGTAATCATTAAGGGCCAAACCGGACTAGAAGATGGATGGGTGAAGGTTTACCAATCAAGCTACCGTAGCTTCTGTCGAGTCACTCTCGTTATGTGTGGCCTGGCTTTGTCTTGATGGATCACAATACCTCTTCTGTTGGACAAAGCAGGCCGCTGCTGGGCGATTATTTTATTCAGACGGTCCGAATTTTGATAGAAAAATTTCAAAATTGGACTCTATTTGTAGGGATAATAGTCTACAACAGTCGCGTCTAAGTAACCGGCACACAGTCATATTTTTAGCCAGCTAAAGACTGTCAACTCGTTAACATTTTTCGAAATTACTTCAAGAATGTTTTTAGTCACTAAAAAAAAAAAAAAAAAAATAACAGCGGTTAATTTTTCTCTGTCAACCCCACCATTCCTGCTCGTCAATACTGACTGGCTATCGTTTATATCGGCTCTACGGGACCACGACTATTTTCGTTTGACTATGTTAAAAGATACATTTTGGTCATCATTTTATTTCGGGATTTCCCACAGCCAACGCACCAATGATAAGGCGATTTGGAGCCCACTGCTAATGTGGCCCGAAAGATCTCTTTAGTAAGGTCCTCATTAGTTGGCGGTTGTCGTTGAACCCATCTCAGCATACCTTGCCTTCGCTGGGTCATCGACCTTAAAAATAGGTCACTACTATAACGACGTACTACTAGCAGCAATACTATTGGCATCTCTATTCCCTCCCTGCTTTTTACCGATACTTTAGTTGCAGTATTTGGTTCCAGCTTCCGCTGGTGCTGTTGTCTACTCTGACCTAAGCTTAGCTTCAGCTTCAGTATTAGTGCCAGCCTTATTGCTTAGATCAAATTTAGCACTATCTTTGTGTCGGCGGTTTTAAACTCGTTGAAAACCCTGTCCATTTCTCGGAACAACTAGTTCCAACCGGCTTTTGAGCAGGAGAGGCGGGGTCGTTTAATATTTTAGTATGTTTACCTTTATTTAGCAAGGTTCAGCCGTTTCTCTGATAGATGAGATACCTCCCAGCAGCAGCAGGGACGAACTGTTACCAGTCCAAACTTACCTTCAACGCGATACTGTCGTATCTAACGTGAGATACAGCTTAATAGAGCAAAATAATAGATTTTTTTTTAGTAGACCTTACAGTAATTCACTAAAGGCGCCTCCGCTGCTGAAGCACTCAACGTAATCGGATACTTTGAAACTAAAAAAACGCTTTAATATAAGATTTAAAATTGTGTGAACTTTACTTTCATATTTAACTTACCGGATCTATTTGATCGTTACATTCTTCAGATATATTATCGTATCGTGGATAACTTTTACTTTCATGAAATAATTTTCACTTCTCTTGAGTTTTCAACATCATATTTATGCAATAAATTCAACTTTTTCTTTTTTTAAATTTGCAACTTAGCCAGCGTGCCCTCATAAGTATAAACAGCGCAGTGTCCCAATAAGTATGTAGTAATAAAAAGTTTCGGTAGTAAAAACTTTTACCGCAACCTGAAACCGAAACTAATAATTTCTGCAATGTGAAACATAAATCGAGCACTTTGCCGCTTATTTTGGCCATTCTTCGTTTTGACACATACCACAACATGCATGCCACATGTAGAAGTTCTAGACGCACATGTGAGCACGTAATGCGGATGCATTGCATTGGGACTGGAAAGTATGATACTACTTATTTACAGTTACGAATTCTGGCGGGTGCTTCCAGCTGTGCCGCGGCTGACTGTAAAAGCAATTGAATTTGAAAAATGGCCGAGCGACGTGAGTCAACAACCAGCAAAGAAAAAATACTACAACAAGAAAGCAGACCAAAATTTTAGATATATAAATTAGAAAAGTGTAGTTGAGGTATAGTCGGTCTCCAAGTTCTTTTGATTAGGCATCTGAACAGTTTTAAATCTTTGGTCCAAACAGGATTAGATCGCCTAAGGAGGAAGGAAGGAGGAAGCGATATCCGCGATATCATCTTGGTAGCACTTTGCCGGATAAAATCTCAGTCGATTTCAGTGCCTTAGAACATTAAAACCGGCTGTTGTGGAAACTGCTTAACTTTTTCTCGAAAATATCGCTCTCCGACATTTGTTTCTATATTGTTCGAGGTTTTGGTATTAGATCTCAAATTATCTACAATTATTAGAACCTGTACATCTTCTTCATTTTTGGCTCTACAACCGCGAGAGGACTGGGGCGCTCCAAAGATCTTGCGAAGCACAGTTCTCTCAAATGTTCTAAGTACTTTCTCATCTAAGGTTGTCATCGTCCATGTTTCTACGTGGTATAATAGGATGTAATGAGACGAAAATAATTAGAGATTTATGCTTAGAGTTTAATTATTGTTCGTTGAGAAAATGATTTGCTTCTCAATTGCCAACCGATCCCAAAGTAGCGCCTGTTGGCCAGAGTTATTCTTCGCTTGTTCTCCAGTCTTAGATTATTGGTGATATGTATGCTAGTTCCCAAATAAAGCTTTATAGCTGCCAACCGTATTTAGTCATGTTGCCCTCGTTTACCACAAAGTCAAGTTCTTTGGCTCCTTTTTCTAGGCTTGAAAAGGCTATACTGAAGAACTGATGGCTATGCTCAACGTCATTTTGGGTGTCGATCCGTTTGTCAAGCCACTTGCAGGATTGAACATATTGTGAAAATCTGGTCTGCGGTGGATTTACCAAGTTTAAAGTAAAACTAATAGGGTCAGTGTATTTACAATGGTCTTAGGTTTGTCTGACAATACTGACGAAAAAAAATTTTATGCGATATTAAGAAGGTTGATTCGAAACATGCTTAGCAGCTGAAACATGCGCCTTTCCTTTTCCTCACCGCCACCTTAAACAGCTCAGCCAGTAATCCATCGGCCAAGAACTGATTTCACTTCATCTTGGTCGTGGGAGGGTTCTACTTCATCCGTCGCCCACTGCCTTCGCCCATTTAGCCAGTCATGTCGTCCGTATGGATGAAAATACTCCAGCTCTGGAAGGGTTCGAAACAGAAGAAGAAGGACACCTTCATTCCGTTGGGAAGACCAGCTGGAGTAGGGCTTAGCTACGCTTGGAGTCTTCAATTGGCACCAAACGGCGAAAAGGAAAAATGACTGGTGCGCTGTTGTAAACTTATCGGAAGAAGAATATGGTAAATTACAAGTTATATTACATTTGGTGCCCAAATAAACTTGAAGCACCACTTAACATATTTCACTACATGACACTCACCCATTTTGAAATGCAAGATAACGGCGTATGCGCCTTCCTGTTATTAGCTGTCAAATTTCTGTCACCACGACGACAACAGTATTTTGTGTCGTTATTTGACTGTCTAGCGCCTTTCTTGCAATTGTCAATGTAATTATTTCCAACTGTCAAAATGTTTACGACAATGGCACCTCAAAATCCCGCTCCTACCGTTGTAAATTCCAAGCCAACCATGGTTTTTGTTTGCCTCAAATTCGTTTTACTGTCAGCGGCGCACGTAATCTTGGGTCATCAACCGTCTTCTCGACCTTCTTCACCTTCTCCACCTTTACTACATATTTTTGTTTTTTATTGCAATATACTTTGTTTGGGCTTCACTTCTCGTCGACGAAGCTCGTTCGTCTCGTGTGCGGAAATTTCGGCGCAGGTTTTATGCTGTCAGGCACACACACACACACACACAGGCACACAAACAATCGGAAGCGCCATCGACAAATAATCTTTTATGATCTTTCCGGTACGTGTGAACATTTTCCTATTTTCATGCATTCTATCTTTTTACTGCGTGTTTACTTTTCCAATTCGATGATTTTATGAAATGTCGATAAGGTCATAGCGGAGGGCAATAATAGCAAAAGTGTAATAATAAAAAGTGTCAAATGTTAATCATAAAAGAATTTACGAGTGCGATAATAAAAGTGGATCCAGAGTTAAATATGTGTCCGTATACCGAAGGGAGTAGTATGTAAATGCAACAAAATTTATTTTCATATAATAAAGCGATTTTAAAAAGTGTTGTGCGTATTTTTTTTTCAAAGATATGTATATGTTATAAAGTTCCCCAAATTTGTGTACGGAAGGGTTCGGACTATTTTAATACAAACGAAATGATATTGTTGGAGTTATATCACTACTTCTTTATTGGCGTAGACACCGTACTAAAGAATCTACGCTCTCCTAAGACGATAACCTAGTCTCGCAATTCGGGCAACAAGAGAAGACCCTGGGATATCCAAACAAGGAAAGATTGAAGGCTAAACGCGATACAAGGTGGTGGACGGGATATGAAGCCGGCTCGAGTCCGGATCTACGCTCTCCTAAGACGGTAACCTAGTCTCGCAATTCGAGCAATAAGAGAAGACCCTGGGATATCCAAACAAGGAAGGGCTGAAGGCTGAACGCGATACAAGGTGGTGGTCGGGATATGAAGCCGGCTCGAGGGCAAGTCCAACCTAAAGGAAGGAAGGGTTAGTTTGGCTCAGAGATAAGGTGAGAAACAGCCGGGAACATTTCGTCACACGTAACTGTTGCCTTGCACGAATCCAGCGTTTGGAAATCGTATAGAGGAGCACATATTTT